AGGAAGAGGAGATACCATAATTGTTTAGCATCCGTTTGGTCAAAAGGATCGGCTTCACTTGTCTCTTTGACGAGTAGCTGTATGGTGCTTAGGATGGCGATACTCACTGACGATGCCGACTACGATCAACGTTTGGGAATGTTCCACGTCCACGGTTCAACAACATCTTGGTCTTCATATCTTAATATAATTCAAATTATTTGACGTCATACATTTCTTCAAATTGTTTCATTTCTCTTTAGCAATCTATGAAAGCCTCATATACTACTCGTGAGGATCTTATTTGTTCTCCGTTTTGTCATTCATTTTTTTCACTTAGTCTGCCTTCTGAGCTCGGTTTCATGGAGAATCTTAAAGTTATTTTGGTGCAAGGCAATGCGATTAGGACAATACGACAAAATATTTTGACCGTAAGCTCTGTCATATCTACGCTACTTATGAGCAGTTTGTTTGATTGATTAATTATTGATTCATAGTTTATACAGAATTTCTTTACATGTAATGTAGTCGTTTGTTACATCAAAAATATGTTTGTTTCATCGATAATCCCACCAAAGAATGTGATATGGGAAAAGACCTGGGCTTCCTTCAAATGCACAACTGTCCTGTGATCCAATGGCACTCGTGACAATGTGGCCGAGTGGTTAACGTGTCAAGCTAACATGCTGCACTTTCACGGTTCTATTCACGCACTATAAAAGAGATCTGACTTGCCCGTCGCCCGTGGCTGTGAGGCTTAATGATAATGTGTCGCCAATTTGCTCGGCCAAGCCGCGTTCGATTCCCGTAAAGGATGCTGTTAAGATCCAGATAAAATCGAAACTGCACTTCACTGCAGCTGTTAATATCTTTTTGGAGATAGGGCTAAGCGAAATTCATTTACATTGTGAGATTTACATCATATTGTGGGAAAAACTAAACTCCAATTTTCATCACTTGGGGCTGCCAAGTCTAAAATGAAGTCCAGGTCTTATATGAATAGCGTCTGAGAAACAAGGATAAGTTAAAGAGTTGTTTGAGCTTGCTTTCGCAACATGATCATTTTAATAGGAAGACGAAGAGGAACGCATCTAGTCAGGAGTCCATAGTATGCATGATGATTTCCAGAGTCGGACCTTAGACGCGGTACATTTCTAGCGTTTCGCCGGCATCGTCACTGAGAATTGCCAGTCTTAGCACCACAATACACCTCGTCAAAGAGACAATTTAAGCCGATCCTTTAACCAGATGTGTGCTAAACTGTTATATCTCTCCTGTCCTGTGCTATTCACCTATCCTATCACGCCCTTACTGTCACAATTTTTTCATTGCTTATTTAAATCTACTGTGGTGTGTTCTTTTGAGCGGCTTTCATGAGAACCCTCAACGCTCTATGCTGGCCTTCTCACCCTCCTTCACCCTTGTGCTGGGAACATGGTCAAAGTGTGCCATATTGTTACACAGTCTTCCCTATGCCTTATCAGTCTCCCTCTTTCCACGTAGTATCCATCTGCTATCTCCCTTGTTCAAGTATTTCACTCGACCCCTACCACCCCATCTGTGCCCCACGAAGCGTAATTACTCACATTGCGTCTGCTACACTAACTTGAGGCTAAAGCCTCTGAGTAATTCTCATGGTCAAGTCTTTGTTTCATGACAGGCATACTGTCAGCCAACTAGCTCTAGTCTCCGCCGGATCTATCCTGTTTCTATCCGTAATACCAAGTCTATGACTTTCTATACTCTTGTTCCTCGTGTGCCAACTCACAAATGTTTTGTTACTGCTTGATTTGACTAGGTTGAACCATAACAGTTATGGGTTGGCACACAAGAGACTGTGGTATAGGAAGTCATAGACTTGGTATTACGGATAAAAAATGATGCCCTATTATGTCAATTGATTATAATTTTTTGTCAATTTTATCTGAGGCTACTGTTTTCTATCTCCCAAAGGCTATTTGATGCATGCAAAGAGAGGCATTTATAGATGGATTCTTCAAACTACACAATTATATTTACCTTTAAAGCATTCGTTTACTCGTTTTTTGCTATACTTTACTATTCGGGTTACTTTCTTTTTATGTCTTACATACCCTTGCCAGCTAAAACACTTATTTTCTGTCTATTCTTTTAACTACTCCGAGCCTCACTTATCTAATTTTCTCTCATTACTGTGTGTATTTATTTTATCAGGGTGGAACTGAACTTCTTAAAAGCCTGTTACGCTCACGCGATCCGTCTGGCGGCCTCTTCGATCATACATTTCCTAATTCCAGTGCCATTCCAAATAAAACTTCTGTAGGCTCAAGCACTATAGCTGGGGATGGCTCCTTCGGATCGAATAAGGGACTTGGCTCGAAGGAAATTCATCTGACGCACCACGAAGTGTCGAATGATTGCCTTCTATTATCTTGTTCTAATACTCCGAAGGCGACTACATATACGGAGATTCAACAGAGCAGGCTGAATCCTACTAACGTGGCAGCTGCTACAACTGTATGCACTGCAGAAGCCTCTGCCTCCCAACCAGATACTGCGGTTCTTCAACGTCGGCAATTTCACCTGCCGCCCGTCACTGCTTCAGGCCACCTGAACTGGAGCCTGCTACCACAAGGCGGTCGGTTAGTCGGCAATATACCACCGCTGGCTGCTAACGCCTTATTGCCTGAGACCCAACAGGAATGGCTGGAGTCAGCTATGTTCCGAGTTTCTCCTGGTTTAAAAGTAAAGGATATTAGCCTTTTGCGAAGGATGCTAACTTCTGTGCCAAACGGGTAAATTTTTTACCAATCAATATTCTATTAGTTGCGATCACCAGCTGTTTATATATAGACATTTTGGAAGATCCCGATTACGATATCTTTCGATCAAACCCAGGCGAACAGATAGTGGATTGTGAATCACTAGTAGTATATATTTCTGCATATCAGTCTTGCTATCTATATGTATATCCCAAACCAATAAAACCACATGAAGACGAGCCAATTTAATAATTACTGTAATTAACTTATCATAAGAATTATTGTTTTTACTTTCAACCTGCGTTACTACTCATCAAAGATTTGGTTAGCCCGATCAGAGTTTTACACTTTTATGCGAAAAAAAGTTGGGTTTCGAGGAATCTTTTGTTCCATAATTGTTGACCTTACTTCCATTTCGAGTGAAAGTGTTGTGTAAAGGGATTCGAAGGTCGGTTCCACCAGAAGACGACGGCGGATTCCTCTTCACCAGCTGTCGATTGGCTTTACTG